GTCCATCCATAAGTGAATACCAGTTTTTTTTAAATACATTTTTATAAAATTCCTTAAACTTAAGATTTCATTTTAATTATAATCTAATTCAAATCACTTTTAAATCTTCTTTGTGCCCACAATAAATATTGGTCATGTCAAACCAATATAGTCAATTGCCTCTGGTGAGTTAGTCTACAACATCATGTTCAAGTTTAATATTTATTCTTTACTTTATTTATTTACAGTTTACAGTAGTTGTGGATTTCTTGCTTCATCTTAGTAGTAGATTGATTCATATATTAATGTGTTTATAATTCTGGAAATTGGAAATGCCCCCTACAGGTAAATGGTTCTCTACACTGGAATACAGATGAGTGATCCAGTTCTTCACTTTGCCCATTTATAAATCAGCCTTCTGTGAACCTGCTGCCACCCTCTGGCTTTCTCCCTGTGTGTGTGTGTGTGTGTGTGTGTGGCAGTGGACAGTAGACAGACGTACTGGTGTCTCTACCGGTGTCTCGCCTTGCCACTTCCACTCTGCCATGTTGTTCCTTTGCTTAACCCTGCCTCCCCTGTAGTCCCGTCGGCTCTAGTTCTGGTCTGTCTGCAGCCCCTCATCTCATCAGCCCTGCTTCCCTGCCCTGGTTCCCCACTCTCTTCCCAGCCTTAACAATAAATACTTTGTTTCTACCACATCCATGTCTCCTTGCCTTGAGTGTCTGGACTTGGGTTCACTAGCCTAGCCCCAACACGTTCCCATATTTCTGTATTCCCAGGCCAACATTTCTCATCCAGGAATACTTTGAATTGTATAGACAGTCAATTAACTTGTTCATCCCTTCAGTTATGGATAACAATGCAAATAAAGGTTATTTAGATGATCTGCTGATAATTGTTGGTATTATTTCGCTTCATAATTGCGTATTTTCTACTTACTCCTAACAGAGTAGTTAGTGTTATCCCTTCAGCTATCTCTCAAACTTTTGTTTGTTTACATCAGTTGCCAGGGATTAGATGATGTTCCATCTCACTCAGATGTAGTTTCTTCTTCTTCTTCCACTTCCTGCGTACTGTAGGTAAGGAATAATATCAGTTGTTTGTTAGGTAGTTTTATTGGTTGGAAAAGTGCAAATCTAGTAAAAATGTACATGGCATTTAACAAGCTAATAACATAGGAACAAAATAACAACAAAAATGTTTACTGTGCATTTAAAACAATTTATTTTCTACTTAGTTAATGAAATCGTTTAAAAGGAAACTCAATCTATTTTACACAAGACATTTGATTTAAGAGGAGTAAACACAGCCTGTGGAAACAGGTGTATACTGTCTTCTGGGGCTTGGAGCTTGATCCATGTCAGGATATATTTGTAGTTGCTGCTTTGATTTGGACCCTTCCTCTTTAAAAATAATTATCACATGCTCTTATGAACACTGAAACAGTAAACAATGTCAGGGGAAACACAAAGAGGGAATTTCGTACTGACGAGACACTTTTAATTTGTCCATCTGAGACTGTTGACGCCCCATGTTATTCTTAGATAAACCATGGAATGTATTTTTTCACAGGACGGGGAAAGTTTCTCCCATAACTTACATTGGAAGCCCATTAGAAAGGGATCTCTTAATGTCGGTATAAACAGGAGGAATGATTACAGCAAGCAATAACTGTTTCAATGTACATATGGGCATGTGAGCACTTGAATTGAATAACTGGGAATGTATCCTTTAATCTGTGTCTTGTGAGTTCTCAATATTAAGCAAGTGAAAAACTAAATCGCTTGAGTCACCCTTTAAGAAAAACATAACTTCCATGCTCATTACTGCCTCCTCAGGGCAGACAGGCTACTGATGCCTGAATTTTCATACAGGATGCATCACATTAGTTGCATACAGTAGGTGACACATAACCATCTTGTAACAGAACTCTCCTACTGGCTATACAGGTTTCTTTTTAGTTACATATTTCAAATCATTTGCACAAAAGGTGATAAAAAGCAGCCCATTATCCATTTAAATAAGCTGAAATTTAATTTCACTGAATGCTTAACCATAATACAACAGTGAAATAATGAGTAAGCAAATACAACCAAAGAGTTTATACAGGAAAGCAATTAATATAATTTTCTTTTCTGCACATCCATATTTCTAAGACCAATGTGTGTAAGCAATATCAGTGGTTTCAGAACTCTCACTTAATAAAAAAAATAACATATATATATACGAAAGAATTTCAAAGCGCCTGCAGTGAAAAGCACAAGCAACGAGACAAACAGCATAGTGCATGTAGGCACTACAATTTCTAAACATGCATCATAAGAATTTAAATCTAGACCTCTAAGTGTGTCATACCATATTTTAAAAGGGTTATGATGGACTGTCCAGAGTGTTTCCCTGCCTTCTGTCCAATGTTTGCTGGGATAGATTCGAACATGCCTTTGGGACCCTGAATAGGAACACAGTAAAACATAAGTGAATTCATATGTATAAATGGGTATGTACACTTTTGTATTAATGACACATCATTTTAAAATACTTACTATTTAATGTCCTCAGTATGAGCTGGTGACAAGATGTAATGTTAAGGGACCAGAGTATGGTGATGATGATGATGATAGAGAATATGGTAATATAAGCTACATGTTTACACCTTAGCAACTTGAGGCTCCCTCTTGTGTTTATAAGATGCCAGCGACCCCCACCAACAACATTGGTACACACACATCCTTGTGACAGTCATTAGCACTGCCAGCAACTGACAGCAACCACCCTGAGTGTGTTCATAAGGAAAGATTTGTTTCAAGTTACTGCACAAAGGTTTCTATTAAGGTATCCATTTGCATCACCCATATATTACAAATAGGCCAATTACAGTGTATCTTGAACAATTTCAAACATAATTTGCTCAGCGACTAGATGGTGCCAAATTTCACCTTCAAAAATA